ACATTCCACTCACGTGCATCAGGCATGAAAAAAAAAAAATCAAATGACCAGGAAGTTTGTTTCAGGAGGATTAACTGTGATTTCCTCATAAAAACAACAATTAACTGACTGCTGTTGACTGGAAACAAGGACTGACTAAAAAGGATTATCCTCACTGTTTAACACTTTCAGGGACAGCGGTTACTACAGTGGACAGTTTATCATGTTATCATTATTAGGCATTGAAAGGCTTAATATGAGGTCGTCATAAATTGTAGCCTGTGACTAATTTCAGAATCCAAAACTGATCATATCAAGTTTTTCAGCAATATTATCCCCGTTTTGTTCAGACATATGAAATAAATGTCTGTGTAAATAAAACAAGCTTTGAAAACTAAAATAAATAAATACATAAAAAACACAATAAAACAAAATAGACACGACGGTATGCTGTGTTGCAAAGCTAAAAGAAAACACCTGCTATGCTAGCTTTCCGTTTCCAGATATTAATAGTACTGACCTATTGGGAGCTGCACACACCTCTCACCGGACTGCTTCAGTTTTTCAGACTGCAAAAAAAAAGTTGTCTCCGTAGCAGAATCACCCACGGAGGTGTTAAATGTACTTTCGAACCACAGTTCCCGACCCCGCTCAAAATTGAGACGTGAAAAAAAAAGACCTGTAGGTGCAATTAAAATCCACAAGATGGCGGTGTGCACACGTTCCAGTCGCCACTGTGGATTTAAACCGCAAACAACCAGAAACCAGTTTGACATTAAAAAAAAAGTGCTATTGCAGATATATTTACACATTATAAGGACCATAGAGATATGATTGTTGACGGAGGGGTTATTAAATAAATGTACTTTCAAACCACAGTTCCCGACCCTGCTCAAAATTGAGACGTGAAAAAAAAAGATGTGTAAGCGCAATTAAAATCCACAAGATGGCGGCGTGCGCATGTTCCAGTCACTATTGTGGATTTAAACCGCAAACAACCCGAAACCAGTATGATTATATATTTTTTTTTTAAAGTGCTAGTGAAGATATATTTACACATGATAAGGACAATTCGGTATCGTCGGAAAGTTTTATTTTAGGCTCTTTTATTTCATCTGCGAATCTGCGCCCACGATCTTCACCGTACATATTT